AATAAATAAATAAAATAAAATCTATTAAACAACAACAACAACACCTCAAAGAAAATATGGGAAAGGTTCATGTTGTGGGAGCAGGTGACGGGGTGTCTGTTACATTATCCTCCATAATTTTTCATATGTTTGAAATATTTCATAAGCAAAAAATTAACTCAACGGGAAAAAGAAAGAAAAAAGGAAAAAAGGGGGCAAGCGATCTGAACAGACATGTCCCCAAAAAGATATACACATGGCCATAAGCACATGAAAGATGCTCAGCATCATTAGTTATTAGGAAAATGCAAATCTAAACAACAATTAGGTATCACTTTGTACCACCTAGATTGGCTATAATTTAAAAATTTTAAAAGGGAAAATACTAAGTGTTGGCAAGAATGTGGGGAAATTGGAACCCTCATACATTACCAGTAGTACTGTGGAATGGTGCCAACACTGTGGAAAACAGTTTGTTCAAAATGTTTAACATAGCTGGGCACAGTGGCTCACACCTGTAATCCCAGCACTTTGGGAGGCCAAGGCAGGCAGATCACCGATGTCAGGAGTTTGAGACCAGCCTGGCCAACATGGTGAAACCCCGTTCTACTAAAATACAAAAATTAGCATGGTGTGGTAGTGTGCACTTGTGGTCCCAGGTAGTTGGGAGATTGAGACAGGAGAATTGCTTGAACCAGGGAGGTGGAGGTTTCAGTGAGCCAAGATCATGCCACTGCACTCCAGCCTGGGCAACAGAGTGAGACCCTGTCTCAAAAAACAAAACAAAGTCAGGCACGTTGGCTCACCCACCTGACCTTGTGATCCACCCACGTAAGCCTCCGAAAGTGCCTGTAATCCCAGCACTTTGGGAGGCTGAGGTGGGTGGATCACAAGGGCAGGAGTTCGAGACCAGCTTGGCCAATGTGGTGAAACCTCATCTCTACTAAAAATACAAAAATTAGCTGGGCATGGTGGTGGGCGCCTGTAGTTCCAGCTACTTGAGAAGTGGAGGCAGGAGAATCGCTTGAACCCAGGAGGCGAAGGTTGCAGCAAGCTGAGATCACACAACTGCACTCCAGCCTGGGCAGCAGAGGGAGACTCCATCTCAAACAAAAACAAAAAGCCAAACAAAATAAAAAGTTAAACATAGTGTTACCATATGACCCAGCAATTTACTCTATATCCAAGAGAACTGAAAAACATATGTCCACAAAAAAGTTGTAATGAATGCACATGGCAGCATTATTCATATCAGCCAAAAGTGGAATCAACCTAAATATCAGCAATTGATGAATGAGGTGGATTAATATAATGGAATATTATTCAGCCTTAAAAAGTAATGCAGTACAAACGCATGGATTACATGGATGAACCTTGAAAACATATAAGTGAAAGAAGCCAGTCCCAAAGGTTCATTTAAATGAAATGTCCAGATGAGGAAATCCATAGAGACAAAAAGTAGATTAGTTGTTGCCAGGATGAGGGGAAATGGGAAGTGATTGCTAATGGGAATAGGGCGATAAACATGTTCTATACAGAATTGATGTTGATGGTTGCAAAAATCCGAATACACTAATGCCATGGATTGTATACTTTAAGTGGGTTAATTTTATGTATTGAAATATTTCAATAAACATTTTAAAAGATGAGGTACGAAAGTTTATCTTTTCTATATTAGTAAGTATTACGCTCTAAGAAAATCTGAATTGGCTGGGCTAGGTGGCTCACGCCTGTAATCCCAACACTTTGGGAGGCTGAGGCAGGCGGATCACAAGCCCAATAGATAGAGACCATCCTGGGAGGCTGAGATGATTGGATCACTTGAGGTTAGGAGTTTGAGACCAGCCTGGCCAACATGGTGAAACCCCATCTCCACTAAAAATACAAAATTAGCCAGGCATAGTGGCGGGCGAATGTAGTCCCAGCTACTTGGGAGGCTGAGGCAGGAAAATCACTTGAACGTGGGAGGTAGAAGTTGCAGTGAGGCCTGGGAGACAGAGCGAGAATCTGTCAAAAAAGAAAAATCTGGCTGGGCACGGTGGCTCACGCCTGTAATCCCAGCACTTTGGAAGGCCAAGGTGGGTGGATCACGACGAGGTCAAGAGATCAAGACCATTTTGGTCAACATGGTGAAACCCCGTCTCTACTAAAAATACAAAAAAATTAGCTGGGTGTGGTGGCGCACGCCTATAGTCCCAGCTACCTGGGAAGCTGAGGCAGGAGAATTGCTTGAACCCAGGAGGCGGAGGTTGCGGTGAGCCAAGATCACATCATTGCACTCCAGCCTGGGTAACAAGAGCGAAACTCTGTCTAAAAAAAAAGAAAAAAGAAAGAAAAATCTGAATCATAAAAAAAATTAGAAACAATAAACTGGTCAATAATTGGACTTGCCACAGGGTCCTGTGAAGTGTTAATTATTAACGTCTTTTTTCTTTTGAGATGGAGTTTCTTGTTGCCCAGGCTAGAGTGCTATGGTGCGATCTGAGCTCACCGCAACCTCCGCCTCCTGGGATCAAGTGATTCTCCTGCCTCAGCCTCCTGAGTAGCTGGGATTACAGGTGCCCGCCACCATGCCTGGCTAATTTTGTATTTTTGGTAGAGACAGGGTTTCTCCATGTTGGTCAGGCTGGTCTCAAACTCCCAACCGCAGGTGATCCTCCTGCCTTGGCCTCCCAAAGTGCTGGGATTACATGTGTGAACCATCATGCCTGGCCACTGTTTTTTTTTTTTTTGAGACCAAGCTGCTCTGTCTCCCAGGCTGAAATGCAGTATTGCTATCATAGCTCCCTGCAGCCTTGGACTCCTGGGTTCAAGCGATCATCCTGTCTTAGCCTCCCAGGCAGCTGGAACTATAGGTGTGTACCACCATGCCCAGCTAATTTTTTAATTGTTGGCCGGGCGTGGTGGCTCACGCCTGTAATCCCAGCACTCTAGGAGGCCGAGGCGGGTGGATCACCTGAGGTTGGGAATTCAAGACCAGCCTGACTAACATGGTGAAACCCCATCTTGTAAAAAGAAAAAAAAAAAAAAAATTAATTCTTTGTAGGGATTGGGGTCTCACTGTGTGTGGCCATTAACTATTTTTTTTTCTCTTTTTGAGACATAGTCTTGATGTTGCCCAGACTGGAGTGCAATGGGGTGATCTCGGCTCGCTGCAACCAATTACAGGCGTGAGCCACTATATCACATTCTTTTTAGAAAAATGTGATATTATTAACATTATACTTTCACAATGTGAAGCAGTATAAAAATATTGGCTGGGTGCAGTGGCTCACAGGCCAGGCACAGTGGCTCACACCTGTAATCCCAGCACTTTGGGAGGCTGAGGCAGTCAGATCACCTGAGGTCAGGAGTTTGAGACCAGCCTGGCCAACATGGCAAAACCTCATCTCTACTGAAAACACAAAATTAGCCAGATGTGGTGGCACGTGCCTATAATCCCAGCTCCTCAAGAGGCTGAGGCAGAGAACTGCTTGAACCTGGGAGGTGGAGTTTGCAGTGAGCTGAGCTCGCGCCACTGCACTCTAGCCTGGGCACCAGAGTGAGACTCCATCTCAAAAAAAAAAAAAATTAGCCAGGCATGGTGGCACACACCTGTAGTCCCAGCTACTTGGGAGGTTGAGGAAGGAGAATCGCTTGAACCCGAGAGGCGGAGGTTGCAGTGAGCTGAGATCACCCCAAAGCACTCTAGCCTGGGCAACAGAGTGAGATTCCACCTCAAAAAAAAAAAAAAAAAAAAGGAATGCCTATTTGTGTACTTTTGGGTTTACAACTGTATGCATGTCTGAATATGTTTGTACATACATTATGTGTATGCATATGCTCCATAATTGTCACAGATTGCTAAATAAGGTAGCAGCTGCATGACCGTTAGCTTTTTCACACCCCATAGGCATGGTTGGCTGTGTAACTGCAGCTGCTGTTTGCAGAGCCTGGGTTCCTATATCTGAGCCAATCTCTGTACTGTACAATCAGGTGACCACGGATTTTGCTCAGAGAACCCTCAACAACTTTGAGTTTTTCTAAGTTTGGTCAGCTGCAGGTGGAAGCAGAAATACTCGGGGCCTTGATTCTGAACATTCCATGGTGAGACTGGGGGAGTCTGTCATTTTAACAAGCACCTCAGGACATGTGATCTGTACTCACTTTTAGGATCTCCAGGACTGTGCACCAATTCCTGATTGCTGACTCTGTCTTTGGTCTCACAGTCCCTGTTGACACTTTGCCCACATGAGAATGAATATCATGCCTCCCTGTTGTTACCCATAATGCCATTTCCCTGAGTTTGGTGCTGGATCTTCAGGCTCAGTATACTCACACTGCCCTGTATTTCCATGCGCTGTTGAGTCGCTGACTTCTGGGACCCTGAGGCCCCAAAAGAAGCTGCAGAAGCAGCAGACAGCACATAATCAGCTCTCCTCACCGGCCCCACTCACAATATGGGACCTGCACTGGAGCCCTAGATCATGGATCTGTTCCAAGGGGAGCAGATCACTTGAACTCAGGAGTTTGAGACCAGCCTGGGCAACATGGTGAAACCCTGTCTCTATTTAAAACCAAAACCAAACTTGTTCATTTCCTCTTTACACATTCTTTCTAGCTCCTTCCAACATCTTTTGTAAACACAGGTGTCACTGTTCTGGTTAAAATCCTTCAGTGTGGGAGGCCGAGGCGGGTGGATCACATGGTCAAGAGATGGAGACCATCCTGGTCAACATGGTGAAACCCCATCTCTACTAAAAATACAAAAATTAGCTGGGCGTGGTGGTGCATGCCTGTAATCCCAGCTATACAGGAGGCTGAGGCAGGAGAATTGCCTGAACCCAGGAGGTGGAGGTTGTGGTGAGCCGAGATTGCTCCATTGCACTCCAGCCTGGGTAACAAGAGCGAAACTCCGACTCAAAAAAAAAGAAAACCTTCAGTGGGCCCCCATTCTTGGGATCTGCCTGGCCTACTGGCCTTGCTGACCTCTGCAACCTCATCTTCTCCATTCTCTCTCGCTCTCTTTTTTTAAAATTCAGTCTCCATAGAGACTGTCAAAAATTGCCAGTGCCGACTACATTGCAAGTCATCACGACAGGGTATTGGGAAAAGTTTTCAATTAGCAATAATCGCACCTCGGATAAACCTCATTGGCTACGATACTGCCACTGCACAAAGCTATCTTCTCCATTTTCTACCTGCCCTGGCCCCCAACCCCTCCTACCCACTATCTTGCAAGTGTCTTAGCAGGCCAGTCTCTCTCTTGCTCTAATTGACTCCCCTTTACTCAGAAAACTCCTGCTCATTCTTCAGTTCTCCGGGATCACTTCCCTGACCCCAAGACTAGACTGGGTCCCTTGTTTATTCATGGTTATAGCACGCTGGGCTTCTCTTTACTAATACTTGTTTGTCAACATTGAAATTCTCCATTTACTTGAGCAATTATGTCACTAATGTCTGCTTGTCCACTCGACGCTAAAGTTCATCTGAGCAGGGCCCCGTGCGTGCTCTCATTGCCTCTGCAGTACCTAGCAATGTGCCAGGCAGGTTATTCACTAGATGGATGGATTACTCGCTCCAGGAAAGAGGGCCCCAACCTGGGTGGGTGTAGAGACCCTGGAAGTCGATTAATGCAGCTCCGTGTGTAAGTCCCCAGAACTGAGGGCATCCTATCCAGCTGTGACCGGGGCCCCCGATGTCTCTCGGGATGAGGCGGTGCCCGGGGAACCCCCAGGGCAAGAAGGACACAGCATAGCTCTAACTGGCATCCAGCTGCGAACTGGAAGGGGGCACCCAGACTCTGTGCTTAGGGACCCCCCCACACCCGGTTCCCCGCAGGGTCGACCGCGAAGGGCCCTTGCAGCCTTGGGTAGACCCAGGGCAGGCGCCACGGGCTGCGGTAATCTGATGAGCCAGGAGCCACTCTGTGCCCCCATAAGCCGCCGCTCCGGGCGAGGGCGCTCCAGGTTGGTCTTCTGTAGCAGTCGTGCGCTGACAGGGCCCTTCTGGCCGGCAGGCGGTGGCGCAGTGCTCGTCGGGAAGGCGGCGGGCTATCCGGTCCTGGGCTGTGGCTGGCACCATGGTCGGTGGCGAGGCGGCCGCCGCAGTGGAGGAGCTGGTCTCGGGGGTGCGGCAGGCGGCCGACTTCGCGGAGCAGTTCCGCTCCTACTCAGAGAGCGAGAAGCAATGGAAGGCCCGCATGGAATTCATCCTGCGCCACCTGCCCGACTACCGCGACCCGCCTGACGGCGGTGGCCGCCTGGACCAGCTGCTGTCCCTCTCCATGGTTTGGGCCAACCACCTCTTCCTGGGCTGCAGGTGCGGACCCCTGCCGGCCGGCTGATCCTGTTCCCTGTCTTCCGATCCTCAAGCCCTCTTCCAGGGCTCACCCGTGACCGGAATCTCTGCCCCAGACTGAACCCGCGCCCAACCTCTATTCTTATTGGCCGGCCCGAAGGCTGATTCCCACCTAGGAGGCACCTTGGAAAGATCCTTATCCTTGATCCTCAGTTTTCTCTCTTGGTAAATGGGTAGTTATGATGACTGTAATAAAGGGTGAAGAGCTAAATACATGGCGAGCTAAAAAGTTGCTATTGTTATTTGTATGACTACTATTATTAGCTCAAACCATCACCTTTGCAGGGTGCGTTCCAAGTCCGTTAGCTCCTGTCATTCACATGGCTAATGTGCAGAGACAAAAACGGAGATTCCCATTTTACAGGTGAAAAAGCTTAGGGAGGGAACTGATATACCTGGGGTCATGCAGTTTCTGGCAAGATTGGTGGATTTTAACCACTAAGGACAGGATGTAATCTGTATCCTGTGGCTTTTTCTCCTCGTTCCACAGCCCACTGGGCCCTAAGTAAGAACCAGCTTCACCTCTCTGCTTTCCCTCTTATGAAAATAGCCGGTGCCTTTTTGGCAAGGTCCTAAAGCCCATTGCATCCTGTCTGCTGCACCAAAAGGACAGAGGCCCACTTTTGAAGTGCCTAATAAGGCATTCCCTTCACCCCTCCATGAAGAAGGTGGCAAATCTTGAGGCTCTCTATTAGCTTCATTTTTCCTGAAATTGTGTTAGGAAAATAGGGTGACTTGGCTCTTGATCTTGGTTTCTATACCTATTACCGCTGCCTGACTCTGATCACTTGGCCCCTCCAGGACTAAGCCACTTGGTCTTTCTTTACATGTTGGGGTTTATTAGAACAGTATGTAGAGAAGCAATGCCAGAGGTAATCATCCTTTTTTCCTGCCTTCTAGGTTCTCCTTGGAAATCCTGGTTTACAGGATCTATGGTTAGGCAAATGTCAGAGAATTGGGCAAATAAATAATGATTTGTTAGACTAACATTCCATGTATTTAAAAAATAAAAATACTTTTGCCCTTGTTGGTAATAGAGTGACTAACTCATCCTTACCCAGGTGTGAGTGTTGAGCTGACTTGTTTGGCTTATCTGACAATATGTATTGCTGGATGTACAGCGCCTCTGTTCTTGTATATCTTGAAACATCTGCTCTACTGGCATTCCTAAAGTCCACTTCTGTATCTACAAGCAAGAAGTGTTCACAGGGCCAGGTGTGGTGGCTCACACCTGTAATTCCAGCACTTTGGGAAGCCGAGGAGGGAGGATCACTTGAGGTCAGGAGTCCAGCCTGGCCAACATGGTGAAACCCAGTCTCTACTAAAAATACAAAAATTAGCTAGGCATGTTGGCAGGTGCCTGCAATCCCAGCTACTCAGGAGGCTGAAGCAGGAGAATTGCTTGAACCTGGGAGGCAGAGGCTGTAATGAGTTGAGATTGCACCACTGCACACCAGCGTGGGTAACAGAGCAAGCCTCCATCTCAAAAAAACAAAGCCCAAAAGAAATGTTCACTAACCTTGTGCTGAACATGTATAGGTTTGCCCTGCACTATCAGATCAGTTCTCCGAAAGTTGATTCTGTGGTTGAGCAACCTGCAGTTTCTTGTTAATCCACAGTGACAATTCTTCCAAGGTTTTTACCTTACTACTTTTTATTGTGCAGTTACAATAAAGACCTTTTAGACAAGGTGATGGAAATGGCTGATGGGATTGAAGTGGAAGACCTGCCACAATTTACTACCAGAAGTGAATTAATGAAAAAGGTAAATCGGATTTCCAAGTGCATATGATGAAATGGTGTAGAGTTAACAGTCCCTGCTTTGATGATACTATATTAGAGTATATTGTTTTTGAATGATCTTGTTTACTACCCCAAAGACCTATACCCTTTCATTTTTATTTCCCCATAATTGGTATAAGCCTTTTCATAATTAGTTAACAACTCATGGTGATAAATTATACATCGTTGATGAGGTAACACATACACTTAGCCTCTTCCAGTTGTTTAGGAACATTATTTTGAGATTTTTGCTTGATGTTTAAAAAAATGTTGGCTAGAATACCGAAGTATCTTGTTAAAAAATCTTGTTGGTAATAGAGTGACTAACTCATCCTTACCCAGGTGTGAGTGTTGAGCTGACTTGTTTGGCTTCTCTGATTTGCTGATAGGAATGTGGGTGGAGCAATGTCGATACCATAGCTATTCTCTATCCTGTGGGGTCTGATCTCAGGTGATGGGCTTTTTACAGTGAGTCTTGCCTGGAGTCTTGAATCTGGACCCTGGAGCTGGGGCTATAGAGACTGTGGCACAAAGAACCTCTTAGTATGGGACTGGGCATCCCAGCTATTAATACTTTTCAGAATCACCCCCAATACGTGCTTATTTCACATTTGTCTGCTCAGACAGCAGAATTAATTGCTCACTTATCTTCCAGAGTTCCTTTGGCATTTTATTCAGGCTTCTTTTAAAGCAGTTGTGACCTTGAGGGACGAGATGGTGTCTAAAGTTTTATTTAGTCTTTAGAACACCCAAACCTAGTATAGTTACATCCCAGAGAAGGTACTCAGAAACTACTGAGAAAATCGACTGAAGCAATAGAGTAAAAAGCTGCTGGCCCCTTTTCAGTTCTGCCCTTAGAAACATAGGTAAGCTCCTCTCTCCACATTTAGGTCTTGTCTTGGGAGGTGGGGCACATATAGAGGTCTTCTGTCAAATCCTCAGTAGCTCGGAAATTATTTCAGCCCCAAATAGCACATCCCACTTGATTTTCAGGATGGTTTGTTCTTTTTTTTTTTTTTTTAATTTTTTATTGGATTATAGGTTTTGGGGTACATGAGCAGAGCATGCAAGACAGTTGCGTAGGTACACACATGGCAGTGTGCTTTGCTTTTCTTCTCCCCTTCACCCACATTTGGCATTTCTCCCCAGGCTATCCCTCCCCACCTCCCCCTCCCACTGGCCCTCCCCTTTTCCCCCCAATAGACCCCAGTGTTTAGTACTCCCCTTTCTGTGTCCATGTGTTCTCATTTTTCATCACCCACCTATGAGTGAGAATATGCGGTGTTTCATTTTCTGTTCTTGTGTCAGTTTGCTGAGGATGATGTTCTCCAGATTCATCCATGTCCCTACAAACGACACGAACTCATCATTTCTGATTGCTGCAAAATATTCCATGGTGTATATGTGCCACATTTTTCCAATCCAGTCTATTGGTTCGTTCTTCTTAAAAAAAGTATTCTTCTAGTTTTAATCTGAACCTGGGGAAAAGCTTCAGGTTGGTTTTCGAGATGCTATTATGTTTTCAAAATCAGCTGTTAACACAGTACTCCTGAAAAATGAGTAAAGTAGGGTTACTGCTTTTGGCCAGGGAGCAATGTGAATTGGGAGTTTGTGGCTTTTTGGATCTTCTCATGTAATACTTAAAAAAATAACTGGGCAGTCCTTGGGTGTCCTAGTGAGGTTCTTGGGGCCCAGCCAGGGAGAGGCTAGATAGTTTCAGGCTACTGAAGTATACCTCATGGAGCTGGAGCAGGAGCAGAGGTAAGCAGGGAATGGGGTAAGTCTTTATTTTTAGTTTATTTTTTAGAAAAGTCTCACTTTGTCGCCTAGGCTGGAGTACAATGGCACGATCTCAGCTCACTGCTCCCTCTGCCTCCCAGGTTCAAGCGATTCTCCTGTCTCAGCCTTCTTAGTAGCTGGGATTACAGCTGTATACCACCACACACAGCTAATTTTTGTATTTTTAGTAGAGACAGGGTTTTGCCATGTTTTCCAGCTGGTCTTGAACTCCTGTCCTCAAGTAATCTACCCACCTCAGCCT